AGCTGTCTGAATTTGCTCGGAAATATGTAAAGAGGTTATTATTATAATAAGATAAGTTAGGTTTTTCTGAAATTTTTGTTTCAGTAATGCAAGCAATACTAATATTATGATCAAGACAGTAGTTTTACCAGGTTTCTCTTTTAGTAGTTGTATTAAAACCATGAATATTATGTATTGCAATATTAAGATATAAATCTCTAGTATAGCTTGACTGTTGATTAGTAACATGGTTGATAGAGATATTGTCTGTAGGAGCTGGAGATGGAATAGGTGAAGAGGCCTCATCACAAAGATTTTGTAAGAGTGAAAGTAGTTCAGTGGGGAAGGATTCAGAATCATCTGAGTGTGATTCATTATTAAATATATTATCTGGTTTGTCAATAGATGTAGGTGAGAATATGTTAGTAATATTTATAGATCTAAAGAACTTGGTGTGGATAGAGGAGCAGATAGATGTATTCAATTGTGATTTTAGGTTAGAAGGTTGATCTTGGTTGTTAGTTGAGTATTCAGCAGTTTGGTGTGCTGGGACAAATGAGGTAGAAGAAATAGGTAGTATAGTTGATAGGCTTGGTTTAGATCTCAGTAGAATATCAACTGAGTTATATATTATAGAGAAAATATGATAGTTTGGTAGTATGTTATTGTCATCAGGTAAGTATATATGTGCTTCAGTTTTGTTATTATTGACTGTAATTAGGAGATAAAATACAAGATGTTTAGCATTGTTTTGTGTTAAGTATTGTCTAAATGAATTGATAGTTTGTGGTTCTCTTAATAGAGATAATTGGTAGTAGTTAAGATATCTATTGTAGCATATATCCAAATCATAGGAGTCTAGTGATGTTGGTGATGATTTGGAAAGTATTTTTTCTGTAGGGATGCTCACCATTTTATGCTCAGCTCTTATAGCTGCGAAGAATTCCATAGTCTGCCATATACGTTTGGTCTGACCATTATTATACTGGTTCTCTGCGTAAATGGACTTACCCACCTGTCTACTTACATCATTTTACTCTAAAAATGGCCCACAATATGTGGAGGTCATCATAATTTCAGAGGCAGTGGCTGCTTCTATGTGGTCTACAGAAGAAAAAGCTATTGAAAAGGATTATTTGAAGTTCTTTGAGATGATGGTTCAGGTGCTATAATATTTGAAGTTATCGTAGTATTTGGAGCTAGAGTTTCATTAGTATTAGAGTTAGTCATGATAATATTATCATCAGGGCTGATAACTATATGTATATATTGTTGAGCTAAATTATTGTCTGATATAGTATTAGAATCTTTAAGAATATTTGCATAACTAGTATTTGGGTATAATGTAGTATCATTTGAGTCTAAGATAGATGGTATTGTTGGTTTGGATTTTTGAGGAGTTATAATATTTAGTTTAAATAGATTAGCTACTATTTTAGGAGTTTTGAAGTTGATCTTAAATTTGGTATGTTGTATTTTTTGACCTCAGGATAAGCTTTTTCATTGTAATGTTTTCTAATATATTGAATAGATACTTTATCTCTCTTCTTTGAAAGGATACAGAAATAGGTGAGGATGTAAGCTAAATAGCCAGTGTCTATTGGTTTTGTTGTAACCTGAGAAATAACTTCATGAACAGGTTGACCTTCAATATCATCATTAGTTGCAGCTAATTTAAGGTATTCATTGAAGTAACTATAGAAGCAATAGCTTTCTCTAGCAGAATAAGTTTTAACATAGTTTAGTTCTATACATTCGTCTTCTCTTTCTTTAGCAAGTTTGCGCATGAATAAAATAGGTATAGATTTTTTGAAAGTTGCCATGTGTGCTTTTCCTTTTTCGAAAATAGAGAAGTCTAAGATTGGTTGATTTAATCAAGGTTTGAAGATGTAGTTAACAGGTGCTGGATAGTAGTCGAATAATTTTGTAAAGTAAAATTGTGATAAGTTTTTGATGTTATATTCTTTGTCTTCAGGGAGTATACTACATTCTTTAGTATTACATGTGTGAATATAGAATAATGCTTGTTTACGAGTTTCATCTAGTCGCTCTCAAAAAAAGTTGATAGTTGACATTGTAAATGTTTGAGGTAGGAGTTTTTTGCAATTTTCAGATAATTTACAGATGATGTTATATTTGATAAAATTATAGACCTTCTTTTCATCGATTTTGTAAAATTGTCATTTGTAAAGATTGAAAAATTTTTGGAACCAAAAATCGAAGTATTTGGAGTGTTTTTTAAGTGAGAGTGTTTCATAAGTAGAAAGAAATTCTTTTTTAGGGATGTTAATTGAAATGTTGATGTTAAAGAAATTGTTATTTTGAATTTTAATTAAGGGTTGGTTGATAGCATCTATACTATAAAAATAGTGGAGTCTGAATCGAATTGGATGGATGTTTAAGTCTTCGCAAAATTTTTTGGCATTAATCAGTTTGTATTTCTCATGAAGTATAAGGTGAATACGGGCTAGGTTTAATGCTACTTGGTTACGGTTAGAGGCAGTGTATAGAGAAATAGTATTATATGCAGTTAGAATCTTGGAGTAATCAACTTGAGTAAACAAGGTAGTAGTAAATTCTTTGAGTAATGATATTAGTATTGCGCAAAGAATATCAAATGGGATAGAGATAGCTCTATCGATATCTGAGTTGTTATCATAAATAAAGTCAGTAAGGAATTTAGAGTGCAGACCTGCCAATTTATTGAATAGATATTTGTAACTAAATTTGAATTCAGGGTTAAAACCTTCTGCCTTTTTAGTAATCTTTCCTGGATAAATATCGATTAGGTGTGGTTTAATAAATTCAAAAAGCTGGTAAGCTAATGGATTGTCGAATTTAGTAAAAAGCTGCATATTTTCTGAAATTGGATATTTCTTAAACCAGTCTAAGTCATTAGTTGTATGTCTAGTGGGTCTTTGTTTTTGTTTCTGCTGTTGTCGTTCATCAGGGTTTTTAACTTGGTTATTGTTATTATTTTGTTGCTGTTGATCGTCTGCCTTTTCTTTTTCTTTTTGTTATCATTTCTGTAGGTTATTTTCTGGTTGTTCTTGATATTGTTGATTTTCTTTAGGTTGTTTAGAAAATAGAGAAGATAAGATTTCGCCTTTTTCTTTATGAGAAAGTTCTCAGAGTTTGACTAGCACTATAATGAGTTGTTGTTTGGGAGTGAGAGGAACACTATTAGCTGCTTTAATAAAGCAAACTATCATTTGTTAAATAAAGTTTAATAGGACTATTAATAAGAGTGTAAGTTTCATATCATTAATCTAAGCTATACAAGTTCTGTGAATAAGCTTGTTTTTAAAAATAATTGAAACAACATAGTTAGGAGAATGATTGTTTAATTCTGTAGCAACACAGGGCAGTGTTTTGTTTTTACAGATAACACAGGTATGGTAATGTTGTGAGTGAGGGATAATTGCAGTTGAAGTTCGGTCTGTTCCAAACTTACAGAATAGAATACGAGAGGTTGCTTGGAGAGGATTGGTTTGTTGGGATACATTTTGGGCTGAAGGTTCTCTGGAGAGGGATTTTGGGAGTGCTTCATTTTCCTTAATTGAGAATCAGAGATGCTAGATAGAGAGATATTGGGTTGTACAGTTGCAGCCTGTTAAGTATATATAATTCTATAATTGGCAAAAGTGAAACTGGTATGAAATTTTCTGCAATAGCATTTGCTGATAGCAGGTTGTAAAGATATAGGAAAGAAATGTTGTTTTTGATAGTTTTACAAGATTCAGGTTTAAAGCTTGGTGGGAGAACTTGAAGTGTGCTAATTCTACTTTCTGTAGTACCTAATCTATATCGATCAGAATAGTTCTTATAATAGTAGTTCAAATTATAAGAATCTGGTTCTTGAGTAGTAAGAGTAGGTATAGTCGAGAGCTTGAAGATTTGGTCGATTCAGTGAGAGGGTGTGACAATTAAGGGTGTGACAAATAAAAGATGTGACAAATATGGGGTGTGACAGTTACAAGGTGTGACAAATAAGATGTCACCTAGTGTAATGATCAGCAGATCGACAGAATCGTCAAAATACGAAATTTGTATAAAGTTAATTAGAACTAAAGTAGTAAAGAGGCTTTTTGTATAAAAATAGATGAAACAGGGCTGAGATTGTGTAATTTGATTAAAAATATTGATTTGTAATATTGATCTGCAAGTTGGGGCACCCTAGAGGAGGCAGAACCCCCCAAAAAACAGAAAATTTTTTGTAAAAATTTAGCAAAATTTTAGTAACAGAGTTTTGTATTATATTAATAATAAAATCTGAAGTATTTGTCTATTTTTAATGTTTTATATATCAAATTGAAGCTCTGTTAGAGCTTAATCTTTTTCTATTAATGGAAAATAGAGGTTTACTTAGTAAAGTTTTAAGTAAACGGCAAAGGTATCAAATTTTAAATATATAGTTATAACTCAGTAGCAGGAAGTTTTAGAGCTATAAAACTAGGCTGTTTATAAGTAAAATTAAGTGTAGAACAACTTTACTTAGACAGCCAAAAGTTGTTTACTTAATAAAATTTTGAGAAAATAACAATTGTTTTCAAGAAAAATTTGGTACAAGTGATCGTTGGGAAGAGTTAGTGATTTGCATCCAGATCAGTCTTTTCTACCAAGCTAATTAAATATTTATATAAAAAGAAACAGTTTTGAATATATGCAAAGTATGCACATATCCATTTAGCTGGATCTGTAAAATACTTGTTATTTTTCTGTATTGTTTTTTTTTCAAGCCATCTTTATTCTTTTTTAAACTTCTTACACTATGGTACTAAGTAACAACCTTGTTCAAGTAGTTGAATTCGATATAAATATCGATTTATTACTTTCTTTACAAGGATATAGCATAAATGATCAACACAAGGTTTATAAAACTTGTACAAATAATCGTGCTTTATTTGTCACCAATGTGACTCAACCGTCATTGTAGTTTTAATATGGCTAATATTCTCATCAGCCGCTTGTGCTCACAAATTCCATTTATCTTTAGAGTACCACTCTTTCCAAAGATAGACCTATAGTTGAAGCAAATCATTGTTTTTGCAAATTTGCATCATTTCACTAACACATTCTTTCCAAATTTCGTTTGAATTTGTAGTAAACGTGCCATCAAGTTTTAGTAGCAGCATTTGATGGGTTGAATGATTTTCAACAAGCTTGACTACAGTTTTTCGTAATTTCAACAGACAAAATATAGAATTCGAATTATTTGTAACTTCCCAATTAGGATCTATCATAGAACATGCTTCATGCGCAAGTTTTGGATTATATGAATAGTATGTATTTTTTTTATTAAATGCTAATCGATTTTTAATCGCCCAATGTACAACAATGCCAGGGCGTAGAATCGATTTTACTGTCACATGATTTTCTGACTTCTATCAACCAATCAAAGATCAGGATCAGGTATAACATAAAGAAATTCAAAACAAACGTTCGCTTTGCCAAAATCGCAATTATCTCAAAATTTAGTGTAGTAAACTATCTTTGAAGTTCTAACAAAAAAATTTCCTTGTATAATTTTGCTATGCTATAGTCCTTCCTAACCTTAACCTAAACTCTAACTCAAATA